TGTGTGTGTGTGTGTGTGTGTGTGTGTGTGTGTGTGTGTGTGTGTGTATATATATATTTGCTGTTCCTCTGTTACTATGGTAAGTGTCTGTAAATTATGGGTTGATTTTACCTAGAATAAGAATTAAGAGAGAATGGTAAATACATTATTTTCATTTTAGTACTCAGGCCATAATTAAATGTTAAAAAGGAAACTGAAAAAAGCAAAATGGATATTGAAATTGATATTCTTTTATATATGATTTAATGGCATTCCCATCAGCCTTAGCAGTAGTTTGTGTTTATTGCTACTTAGAAGATGTTAGCAAGCTAACACATGAAAGTAAGAGGATGAACACAGCAAACATTACACCTGCTTAACGTCAGCATGTCAGCATTGACATTGTAAGCATGTTGCATGCCGACGTCAGCGTTTAGCTCAAAGCGCCGCAGTGTTGACGTACAGCCTCACAGAGCTGCTGGCGTGGCTGTAGACTCCCGCTAGGAAACACCACATTAATACGTTTACTATAATAGTTTAAGACAATGCTACAGCTGTAATACCAGGCTGTGAGGGTTGTAATAAATCAAAACATAAATCAAACATAAATTGTTAGGCTGAAATTTTAGGCCAGAAAACGAATATGTAATTAATTAATTAAATGATTAAGTCCCCGTCGGTGTCGGCGCTTTCCATCTTGCCAGCGCTAGTTGATCCAGACCAGCAGCCCAGTGAACAGCCTGAATAATATATGGCACCGAGGCCTGAGCATGAGCGAGTGTGTGGAGACACCTCAGGCCTAGCAGTAAGTCAAAATTACGACCACAGCATGTCGTATTACACTTGAGAACATTCACAGCCTTTAGCCAGTTTCTCCCACCAGTAGCTTAATCAAAGCCATCATAGGCAGATAGTAAATTACTCACGGCGACCCACTGCCAGCGAAGCCAGAGGAGTGCAACAACACCCATCCCCCTCTCTGGTAATATCGCCTCCAGTGAATTCTCCACACACGCATTCAAAGTCCTAATTTGTACGACTCCCCTCCCCTCTGTCTCTGCATGCAGAGCTAAGAGCGTGCGTGTTTATGTCTGCGTAACATGACTTCAGCCACCACCACGCCTTTTCTTTTTGCCTTTCCTCCCAGCTGGTCATGAGCAGCTACTGTTGGGGGTCAGAGGGCGAGAGCGAGGACAGTGGGGTGATTTACTGCTGGAACAGTCGTGGGCATTTAAAAAAAAAAGAACACAAGCGCGAAATTAGGGCAGAGGAAAGTTCAGAGAAAGGTTCCGGCCTTCGGCTGCACACACACACACACACACACACACACACACACACACACACACCTCATCTAATGACACCCTGAAGCCACACTGAACAAGAATAGGGGTTGTTTTACCCCAGCTGATTATGTTAGAGCAACACAGCCGAGGGCATTTGGATGTTATGTAATGGCAGTCTTCATGCCCTTTGGACTGAGTCAGCTGAGAAACAGGCACTTGGACAGGCGGCTGAACACTGTCAACACTGTATGTGTTTTGTGTGTGTGTGTGTGTGTGTGTGTGTGTGTGTGTGTGTGTGTGTGTG